GGACAGAAAGCCATCACTGTTAAATAAATCCTGCTGTCTCTGGACAATACTTTGGGTATCCCCTTCTATTCCAGTCCACATAAGCTCACCTAAGATGTCCTGTATAAATTGCATAATACCAAGCTGTCAGCACAGATTGTAGGACAATAATGGAACAGCATTTGCAGCTGTACCTTTAACAATATAAAACTTGCAGTCAACTTTATTATAGCTTTGTAGATCACAGAGCATACAGCTTTACCCACTGTCTGTAAGGCATAACAATTCCAAGCTTTTATAACCACTGTCTGTAGTCAGTCAAATGTCCAGATTGTGAACTAACCCAGAGGAGAGAATGTTAACCTAGCACCCATATCAATCATGCACTTCACTAGTGTAAGGTTAATTTCTACTGTATGGGATACGAACTCCAGGGCTTTGCCACATGAGAAGTTTATGCTAAAGGAAACATCAGGGACCCTGGTAAAGGTGGTCTTGTGCAGCTCCACGTTCACCGTATGCACTTCAGGACTCCTGTCTTCATGAACCAGTGTGTCCAGCATGCTAAATTAAAGTGTCCTTCCTTCCCACAAGCCCAGCACATAGCAGTTCTAACTGGCCAGGCAGGGAAATTGGCCAAGTGACCCATACTACCTGTCACATACTACCTGTCACAGCGTCCGCACAGGTTTCTGCCTTTTTGCCCTGTGCCCAGGCTGGTAAAATAAGAGTTCTCAGGCCTTCTTCTGATGTTTCACCCTTGTACTTTATTTTACAGTGCCACCATGCAGTCCCCTTTATCCCCCAACAGTTATCCCCTTTCTAACCCGTTCCAGGGTCTCTTGGCCCTTGAGGTTCCCTTCCTGTGGTGAGGAGACAGAGCTGTAGCATCCTGTCCCATCCCAGGCTAGCCTCCTCACTGAATTTTGTTCAGGGCTTTTATAGCCCTCCCAGCCTTCAGCCCAGCTGTCGCTGCGTAGCTCAGCCTATTGCAGTGAGCCAGCCCTTGTTAGGGCCCGCAGCTGGGCTCCCTGCTGGCTGCTTTGAGCCTCTGCCCCTGGCCTCTCTGCCCGAAAGCTGGGCTTAGTCAGCATTTTAGCAGGGCATTCAAGGGGTTTCACCCCTGCTCTGCCGCGCTACCACTCAAGAAACAGAAACTGTCAACTTTCACTGCTGGGGCCATGGAGCAACTGTAAGTAGTTGTACGATTGGGTGATGTAAGGAGGAGAAACTGACAGTTTAAGCATAGACACAAAAGTAGCAGCAGTTTGAGATGTAGCACCTCTCTCAGCCCAAGCCTTCTCAAATGCCTCACTCTAAGCAACCGTGGCAACAAAAGTTAGCAATCTAGAATCTTCAGCCAGGAACCGGTCACCCATGTGGTCATTAGCTATGCCAGTCACATAAATATTCCGGAGCATGATTATTATAATGTCCCCAAATTCACATTCCTGGGCTATCCTCCGCAGATGACATGCAAACTCTAATATGATTTTGTTGGGTTGCTGGCAAGCTTAAAAAACATTTCCCTCCTTTACAAAACAGAATCTTTGGTGCCAAAATACTCGTTGAGGCACTGCACAGTTGCATCAAAGGAAGACTTGGGTTCCAGGAGTCCATTATAAATATCAATGCCATCATGGCCTAAGCAGTTCTGCACCAAATGTAACCTAGCAGCATCGAAGAGTTGCAGAATCTGCACATAGTTTCAAAAAGTCCAAATAAAGTATCACTAGTCAACAGCTGAAGGATGTGCGCCAGGCAGCATGGGTTGCAGAATAGAAGCATTCATCACTATAATGTTACGCCCTGATGCACCCCAGAATAGCACTTCAGAAAACAAACAAACCACCAAAGCAAGACACACATAGAATCGTAGAATATTAGGGTTGGAAGAGACCTCAGGAGGTCATGTAGTCCAATCCCCTGCTCAAAGCAGGACCAACTAAATCATCCCAGCCAAGGCTTTGTCAAGCCAGGCCTTAAAAACCTCTAAGGATGGAGATTCCACCACCTCCCTGGGTAACCCATTTCAGTGCTTCACCACCCTCCTAGTGAAATAGTGTTTCCTAATATCCAACCTAGACCTCCCCACTGCAACTTGAGACCATTGCTCCTTGTTCTGACATCTACCACAACTGAGAACAGCCTAGCTCCATCCTCTTCGGAAACACCCCTCAGGTAGTTGAAGGCTGCTATCAAATCCCCCCTCACTCTTCTCTTTTGCAGACTAAATAACCCCAGTTTCCTCAGCCTCTCCTCGTAAGTCATATCCCCCAGCCCCCTAATCATTTTTGTTGCCCTCCGCTGGACTCTCTCCAATTTGTCCACATCCCTTCTGTAGTGGGGGGGGGAGGTACCAAAACTGGACGCAATACTCCAGGTGTGGCCTCACCAGTGCCGAATAGAGGGGAATAATCACTTCCCTCGATCTGCTAGCAATGCTCCTACTAATACAGTCCAATATGCCGTTGGCCTTCTTGGCAACGAGAGCACACTGCTGACTCATATTCAGCTTCTCGTCCACTGTAATCCCCAGGTCCTTTTCTGCAGAACTGCTGTTTAGCCAGTCGGTCCCCAGCCTGTAGCAGTGCGTGGGATTCCTCCTTCCTAAGTGCAGGACTCTGCACTTGTCCTTGTTGAACCTCATCAGATTTCTTTTGGCCCAATCCTCCAATTTGTCTTGGTCATGCTGGACCCTATCCCTACCCTACAGTTTATCTACCTCTCCCCCTAGCTTAGTGTCATCTGCAAACTTGCTGATGACACAGGTAGATTGTCAAACAAAACATGTAATAACCATGAACTGGTTAGGTCATTAACAGTCTGAACCGAAGAACATGATAAACAGTCCAACAGCAGATATGTAGCAGCAGGCCCCGAATAGCTGCACACACACAGACTAGGAACCGAATGGCTAGGCAGCAATTCTGCAGAAAAGGACCGAGGGGTTACAGTGGACGAGAAGCTGGATATGAGTCGACAGTGTGCCTTGTTGTCAAGAAGGCTAACGGCATTTTGGGCTGTATAAGTAGGGGCATTGCCAGCAGATCGAGGGACGTGATCATTCCTTGACTTTAGCAAAACTTTTGATACGGTCTCCCACAGTATTCTTGCCAGCAAGTTAAAGAAGTATGGGTTGGATGAATGGACTATAAGGTGGATAGAAAGGTGGCTAGATCATCAGCCTCAACAGGTAGTGATCAATGGCTCCATGTCTAGTTGGCAGCCGATATCAAGCGGAATGCCCCAAGGGTTAGTCCTGGGGCTGGTTTTGTTTAATATCTTCATTAATGATCTGGAGGATGGCGTGGACTGCACTCTCAGCAAGTTTGCAGATGACACTAAACTGGGAGGAGTGGTAGATACGCTGGAGGGTAGGGATAGAATAAAGAGGGACCTAGACAAATTAGAGGATTGGGCCAAAAGAAATCTGATGAGGTTCAACAAGGACAAGTGCAGAGTCCTGCACTTAGGAAGGAGGAATCCCATGCACTGCTACAGACTAGGGACCAAATGGCTAGGCAGCACTTCTGCAGAAAAGGACGTAGGGGTTACAGTGTACAAGAAGCTGGATATGAGTCAACAGTGTGCCCTTGTTGCCAAGAAGGCTAATGGCATTTTGAGCTGTATAAGTAGGGGCACTGCCAGCAGATTGGAGGACATGATCATTCCCCTCTGTTTGACATTGGTGAGGCCTCATCTGGAATACTGTGTCCAGTTTTGGGTCCCACACTACAAGAAGGATGGCAAGAGTCCAGCGGAGGGCAACAAAAATGATTATGGGGCTGGAGCACATGACTTATGAGGAGAGGCTGAGGGAACAGGCTGGGGACTGACTGGCTAAGCAGCAGTTCTGCAGAAAAGTATCTAGGGGGTTACAATGGACGAGAAGCTGGATATGAGGCAACAGTATGCCTTGTTGTCAAGAAGGCTAATGGCATTTTGGGCTGTATAAGTAGGGGCATTGCCAGCAGATCGAGGGACGTGATCATTCCTCTCTATTTGACATTGGTGAGGTCTCATCTGGAGTACTGTGTCCAGTTTTGTGACGATGTCACAAATGTCTTTGTATGCTACATAAATCTACAGATGTGGCCATTTTCCTTCTACCCTCCAATCCTGAGCTTATCTGGCTGTCTTTTGACACCTTTTACCATGTCAGGTTTTTTTTTTCTTCAGTGTTTTTCTTGCCTGGGGGAGTTCAGTGAGGTGTGGGTTCTCCTTTGCCTACTTCTGTGCAGGTTCCCATAAAATAACAATAGGAGGCAGGGAGAATGAGATATTTCATGATTTAGGACAGCAAGAATGAGCATGGCCTACATTCCAGACCTTTGGCTTAATTACCTTAAGAAAAGTCTTAACTTCTGGGGCAAATATATTTTCATTGTGGATTTTTTTAAGCTTAAATGTAATATGCATTAGGTATATATTTTAACATTGTGGTACATTATGAGAATTTCATTAATACTGAAGTGATAAGATTTTTGTAATCAGCTAACATTGTCCCAGAATTCCCAGTTTGTCATATGTTTCTGTGCAGCTCTCTCACAGAAAAAAGGGTGAGTGGATGAATGGCAAGGATTTTCTCCCATAATTTAGGTCTAAAAATTATACATTGTATTTGGAACCCTAAAGTGAGATGGGACAATTCCATTTTTAGGGGGCTGTCAAGTACCTATTCGTAGTTATCATTATCCTACAGATACTGAAAATTAATTATGGAGGCTCAAGGTAAAAGAGTGGAAGGAGGCACATAGGACAGTGTGGGTGGCCTGTAGTTGTGGATGCTGGCACTTTTGAAGGAATAAGAGGAGGGAGTTGCAAACAGGCTGTGGTGGTTGTTGTCATGAAGATTTGCCAGTGGGTTGTCCTTGTGAATCCAAATATTGGCAAACTACAAGTCCTTGTGTGCATTTGGATTTGTATCTATGCCTACCCTAATGATAACAGTTTCTTCTGACACCTTGATTGTTGTATAGAGAAGCTTTTTAAACATTTACGTTTTCCTCTCTTCCCAGAATTCAGAGGTGTCCGTTTTTGAAGTCAATATTCGCTTCATTGGTGGTCTTCTAGCAGCATATTACCTTTCAGGACAGGAGGTAAGGAAACTATAAGGAAGTGTGGAAATTAGTAGTCTATCAAATGAAAGCTGCACAGTTGGAAGGGTTGAAGTTGTTGGCTTCACAGTATTTTTTTGAGCTAATATAATAAGTAGGATGGGCTGTGTTACCCAACTCTACAGGGATCATGGAATCTTCATCTAAAGCTGATTACTTTACAGTATCTCTAGGCTAACTGAGGACCCTTTACCAGGACTTTGAAGCAGCCTGTGCCTTCTCCAGTTTGCTCTTTTTATCAAGGTTTTTTTCAACTTCATTGTCAACAGAGTTGAACCTTCTTACACAAGTAGTCACCTCAACCCTAGTTATCTAATCATTAGACTCTAGTGCTTACAAATACCTTGTTTCAAGATGTTCCACCTCTCTCAAAAGAGAATTTTTCTCAGCTGCCACTTGTTCCCCAATGGACACAGGTACCTGAATGCAGAAACCCTTGACAGTTTTCTCAGGTATCTTTTGTGTAGGGAGCCATAACCCTGCTACAACAATAAGCTAAGATTGAGGCACACTGGATCAAACTCATCTCACAAGTACAGTTCCCACGGAAGTCATTGTGAATTATGCCTGTTCTATATCTGGGCTACATTTAGACTTCTCTCTGTCCCCTCCTGCATGGGGATTGCTGGGAAAAACGTCTACTATATACAGTGTTGGATTGGAAGGCCATCACATCACCTTTATATAGCCTGCATGGTATCTTGAAATATAGGTTGGATATATGGGACAGTATTCTCAGTATTGATTCAGCTTTTTATAACTCACAGGTATAAAACTTGCCTCTGTCAGCAGTGGCTGAAAATTATTGCTGTCTGCTGACTGTTTGGGGGATTATATGCTGAATCTCATTCTTTTTCTTTGTTTTTAAAACAATAAATTTAGTGCTGGTGAAAGATGCTGCACTGACACCCGTGGAGAATAGAGGTGTTTGTTTAATCATGAAACAAAGTATTGGTTATGGCAGTTTAACTACCTCTAAGTCCTAGTCTACAGTAGGAAAATGTGCCATGTTAGAAAATGTATTAACTAACATGTTTTCTAACACGCTTTAACTGACAAGATTTTTCTCTTAGTTTGGACAAGGACAATTGTTGTATTTAAAGAGGTGTTAGCCGGTTGTGTTTAACCCAGCGTATGTGTCAACCCACATTTCTAAACATAGCTTGTTCCTGTCTACACTGAGTGCTAAGTTGTTTAACACAGTATGTTACTTAAAAGATGTTAGCTAACACACTTTCATACAAGCTTGGTTTTCTGAGTGTAGACATGGGATGGTAGTCTCCATGGTGTATTTCAGTTTTTAGAGACTATGCTGATAATTGCTCACAGGAGGAAAAATTAGCATCAACTGTGCTTGTTTTTGTGGTGGAGGAACCTGATCATGGAGTACCGTGGAAATTAAAAGACTTTATACAACGATTATATCTGTTACCATCCCTTCTTCCAATCAGAGTTGTTCTACATTTACTCCTAGGTGTTACAAATGCAAATGTTGTACTATGGGAAAATAATAAAATAACATACTTGATTTACAGTGTCTTGTTTTAGCAGCTAGTTCCTTGGCTTAAAATTGTGCAGACTTGTATAATCCTTTGTTTAGTCACAAAACTTTTATTAAGTACTTGTTTGGTGAACAATGACCTATTATCTTTCAGGTAGCGGTATCTATCACATCTGGATATCTCCCAGGCTTTCTTGGGGAAGATACATGCAGAGTTCTGCAGTATCTGTAGCTTGAGGAGAGAGGGTTTTTTCAGTGCATCGGGCCAAATTCACTTTTCTGCTCTATCCCCTTTGTGCTGGGAGGATGGGTGATTTTATGGTTAAAGCACAGAAACTGGGAGTATGAACAGCTGTATTCTCTTCCCAGCTATGCAGTAGATTCCCTGTATGATCTTGGGAAAATTATTCAAGGCCTCCATTTTCCCCACCTATAAAATGGAATTAATATGGATTATTCATAGATTTTAGGGCCATTATGACCATTTAGTCTGACCTGCATAATACACGATACAGAACTTCATCCATTGATTATTCATGAAGCCCATAACCTCAGGTAGAGCATATTTTCATTAATGTTTGTAAGGCACAGTTATGTGGTGATAGTCATAATTGAAATGCCTAAATATAAATAAAATATTCAGCTGAACCTTCCCTGAAAGTTTGGACTTCCTGTTTACTAAAATGGATCTTCAAATATTTTATATTGGGATAATATTTGGATGGGGAGAGATGAGTCTGGGATTTGAATAGTGAACTCTTACATGGAAAACAAAGGACTGGGTCGTTCATGGCAGTATGAAAACTTCTAGACCTTGAAGAAAATCTTTCACACTGTATCCTAAGTTCTTTTGTATTATCCTGGGTAGCCTAGTTTCCTTTTGTTTTTACTTTATAGTTGTATTTTTATCATTTCATTAATTGACTCCTGTTTTAATTGTTATACATCAATTATATTGTACGAGTGCTTTATTTCAGTGTGTTCATTTATGTTGACATCATTATTACCTAGAATTAGTTATGTAAAAGTGGTTATCCTTTTCTTTTTAAAATAACATTAATAAAATGACTTGAAAAAAATATTTGTACCTTTCTAGCATAAGAACAACAAAATGGTACAGATGTCTAGTCAAAATTGTCACATGCACATATCAGAACACGTAAAGCACTGCATTTTACAAAGATGATTTACATGTTATAGGTTTATTACTACACTGAGATTGAATGTTCTTGCATTTTTGATCCATTTTCGAGGCAGACTCTTCAGTGATTGCAAAACCAGCATCATAATTACATGTTGAGGTTTTCTGGGTATGTTTGTGGAGCTTTTTCCTCTATCATAGAGTCTGACTCATTCTTCTCTGCTTTGAGAATCTTTCCCTTATGCTCACCATCATGTTGATTGATTGGTTCTTCTTTACATAGCATGGAGTCTGAGTTCTGTTCAACGTATATGTTGAAATCCGTCAATTCTTCTGTCACTACAATGGAGTTATCTAGCTGTTCTTCATTGAATGTGAAATTGATCCGTTTTTCTTCCCTTTCTTGTTGACACACTTGTGTATTTGAATCTCTTGGGGTATCTGGATAGCTGATCTCTGAGGAAGGACAAGATAAGTCCTCTGTAAAACCACTGCCTGTCCAAAAGATTGTGAGTTCTTTGCGCAGAAGAGCAACAACCAGGCTAGTGGTAAGCGTAAAGGGCACCAAGTAGAGGAGAGCTGGCTGACCCATTTGCATTAATGCTGACACTACAAAGGTCACCAGGAGGCCAGAGCTATAAGCTATGGTAGAAGCTACAAAATAGACTCTGGAGGAGTGCACCTGAACATCAAATCTGTGGCAGTAGGCTATCAGGAAACCAGGAATTACAATGTCACCAAGGCCAAGGATAGTAAAGGGGCTGTCATTAAAGGTTGATGCAGAGGATAATGTTGGAACCTTCAACAAAAAAGGGATCTTTTCACGACTGACAGAGTCAGATGGTCCGAGAGCTGCCACTTCCATTATGCTCTCCCCAGACTTGGTTAGAAAAGGAGTGATAAATACGAAAAACACATCATAGACCAAAAGAGCGGCTAGAAACAAACTGCAGTTCTTCAAGGTAGGCATGCGGATTGTTTTTAGAACATAAAGGCAGATAGAGATTCCTAAAAAGTCTTGCAGGACCCAGGCCCACTGATCCTCATTTCTGAAGATCATCCATGTGATAGTGATGGAGACAGAAAATCCTGCCAGGAACAATGTCCTAACTTGTGGACCATTGTGAAAATATGGTAAATGGAGTTTGTATTCTCCAAATGGGAGTTTGTTCACAGAGGGAGACAAACAACTGTAAAGCCCAATGGATGCATATAAGCTAAAAAATCCTATCATTATATTCACCAAGTTATCGTAGAAGCAGTAGAGAGCAAGCAGCATGAAAGAGGACATTACTACACTTGCACAGATAAAGAGGACATCAGGGTCAATTGTTACATCATCAAAATCTTCTTCATTTTTGCATCTGCACTTCGTGTATTGCTGCCTTTTCTTCTCTATGTTTCCTGCCCAGTAGCCTCCAGTGGTGACTGTGCCTACAGCAAGGATGAACATGATCCCAGTATTGTATCTCAAGAGCCTGCCCAAGTGTTTGAAGAATAAATAGATTATGTCCATGTCACTGAGCAGATTTACAGGAGTAATGCTCTCCTCACAGTGACCCCAGTTGTGGCCCAATCCACTGCCTCCTGTGAGGGATATTGGGGCATCTCCACCAAGGATTAATAGCACTTGTGTTCCATTTATTCTCTGGAGTCTGCCGTTCTCAAAGAAGTTGCAGTTACCCTTCCTCACTGAGGCGATTCTAGTGCTGAGTCCCCCACCATCACAATCCTCCTCGCCAAAGGAGGAAGGAAGACAACACAAGGTTGAGTAAGTTAGGTCCTGATGTGGCTGAAGCCATTTGGTTTTTCCACTCTTATCCTGCAGTGATTGCACCCAGTGAGAAGGGAAGAGGAAGCAGTAATCCCCTCCCTTCTCTGGAATGACTCTGATGACTCCAAGGTGCTGAGCAAGCACATGTGGACTAAGAAGCAGTAGGAGGCAGGACAGCAGCAGTGTCATCTTCTTTTCTGGGTTCTGCAGGTTGCCTTCTCTCACCACACTCCCTGTCACATAGAAAGCTTTTCTCCTTGTGGTGAGACATCCACTCCTCCACCTGTTACATAATAAACTGTGGCCCCATGGAGATGAGCCCCGCCCTCTGTCTGTTACATAGCAAACCCCTCCTCCTCCCAGTCTGGGAGAGTCTCCATCCTGTTATATGACAAGCCTGTCCCCTTCCCCATGGATACAAACCCCACCCTGTCTGTTACATTGCGAGCTCTGTAACCTCGCCCTGGAGACAAGTCCGGCTGTGCCTGTTATATTGCAAGTCTTACCATCTGCCCATGGAGACAAGTTCTGGCTTTTGCTATCACACAGCAAGCTCCTTCCTCTCC